CCTGCAGCCCCCCTGCAGCCAAGGTATAACAAACGCCATTGAAAAGTGTATACTGTACGTTGTTACTATAAGTATGCAAGTGCAATAGTTAGTTCTTCTTTTAGCACTAATTTCAATTGTAAGATCAACGTTGCAACACTTTTGAGAGCTTTAACTACTCCTCTAAAGCTGAATATAGGTGATACTTAAATACTAAACCATAATAACTACAGCGTTTATTTATAAGATTTCTATTAGTACTAGAGTTACAATGGTCCATTTGGAAGTTCTCCAAATATGGAATCATTTCTCCATAGAACATAGAACATCCAAAACTTTAAAAACCACTTAAAGCCCAGGAAAAAAGGGCCACCCTTTTAACGCCTAAGAACCTAAAACAACCTACGAACAAACTTCTTGTACCTACACAAGTAAAAATCCAACTCACATTCCCCATAATCTGCGTTGGTCAATCATTATTTGCGGCGCTTTAGGCGCGTCGTGGGATAATGGTTAATAAAGTGTTTTATCATTTCCACCACGCATTTAACATCAGTATAAAAGAACCACGCATCAACTCAGTTCATATGGTGAGTGCTTGCTACAATATATACCAATTTTTTGTTTGTTTTTGACACCTAAAGTATAAGGTCTAACAAAATATTCAGCCATAACAATCGCAATAACCAACCTCATGTAAAATATGAATTTCACTTATACCATTGACTATTGGATACTGAAGTTATATTATCAATTATCAATTATTTAAGATGGGGACGCCACTATGTGCGTATTTTAACCCAAATATGAGTGAAGGATGAGTGTAGGATGAGTGGCGCGATCTTGTAGTCTTATTGAAGTAGTTGTACTGAAGTTGTATTAATAGCCAAAGGTTATACCATAGACTAACCAACGTATGTTTTATCCATGGTTATACTGACGAAATTAATTATAATAGTATTAAAACCAATTTTAAACAGCTTTGGAATCATACGGCCAATACTCCAAATGCATTTGAAAACAAAAGGTTTATATTTCTTCAACAATCATAACACCTGGTTTATTTAGTAAACTTGTTTTGATTTAAATCTTTGCCTGCTTAGCTGTCGATTCAAGAATATTTTCACCAATTTTATCAGAAAAATCTAAACATGGTGCAACTAACTGACTTGAACTTCTTGCTGAAATTTATAGCATGCATCGTTAACATCGTGATCCTCTGTCTCTGGACGATCCCGGATAAAGGTGGGATCCCTCCAATCAGGTTTGGGACAACGGTGGTATTCTACTTGGCTAACTGCGGCTACGTAGTCGTCCTCTGCGTCTTCGTTGCTCTCTACTTCCTCGACGAGATCCCCGCCAAGTGGTCCCAGAGGCTCTTCATTGTCACTGGTGTGGTCCTGTTCCTGATCGCCGGCATCATCGGACTCATCGACAGACTAGACTACAACTCTGGGAACAGCCTTATAAACGCTATACTCTGTATTGTCGTCGGAGTACTACTTCTGGTGGATTTCATCAAATCCGAGAACTTCTTCTGAGTTATCATGATATCGTAAGGATTTATCGTTTAAATTATTGCTATCCGCAGTTTTGAGGCATAACTAGCCTACCTATATATTAGCAAATGTCTGGCACTATAAATATGGTAGAACTCAAATTCGTGGTATTTCTATAATGAAATGTACGTTAATTTTTATTAAAAACAAATTGTGCAGTATTTTGATTTTTATTCATATGCAAATTAAGTTGTTCATGGGAATGGTCCGAAAATATCTTAGATAATCACGAGTGTTTTCACTTCAATATCTAACTGAAAGTCAAATATTGTTTTTGAACTCATCATTTTATGTGTAAACCCAATTAACTTAAGTTACTCTTCCAGGGGGAAGAATGTGCAGTCTGATGAGCTAATAACTGCATTTTAAAATAACCATTAAATGAGTCATTAATTGAATATATCTACCGTGCACACGTAAGCGTCCATGGCTTGTTAGTGGGTATTTGTAGATGATTTAGGCTTGCCAGAGCTATAAAAACCTTGGTGTCATGGCAGATATGGGAACAAAAACAAAGTTAAATATTTGACTGCGTTTCTTAACTTTTTTACTCTTAGAAGAAATTTTTTCCTTTTGATATTCGGTCTCTTAAGTTATTGTAAAAATTTGGTACGGTATACCAATGTTATGATGAAATAAAGTTTCCCAAAACTTAAGTAAGAGATTGTAGACAACCCTACAGTCACTTTCATTTTGTTTGACGTCTGTGTGATTCAACCAGGATATAGGGCGGTTATTGGATGGCTTCGCTGAATTTGAAACTCTGAAACTACTTGATGGCTTCACCCCGTTTGACTTCAAAAGCATTTGGCCTAATAAAACTATTGATTGGTACTAGTGTCAGTTTCCTGGTCAGGAACCGATGAGAACCTCTTCTGCGAAGGAGTGATTGTGGGAGAGCCCCTCACGTTGATTAAAGAAAAATTATAAAATTAATTTTTTAATTGTTTAGTTATAAAATTAATTTAATAATTTTTAATTATAAAATTAAATTGTCATAACCTAACCTAAATGTCGACCGCTTAGAAAAGATCCTGCGCGCTAATGCTAATTGCAACCAAACTTGCTGATAATACGAGGGGTATTCAATAAAGACTGACAGTACTCTTTCAATACCTTTAATATAAAAGTTAAGAGTTTTATATTTAACGTATTGTATTAAAGTTTAGACTTTACATCAAACACTTGTAACACTTCTAAGTAGTTGCCATTCAAAGCCTAACACTTGTTCCAGCCACACACGCCTCTGCTACTCCTTGAAGACGTGTTCAAAGTCTTCCTTAGACAGAAACTTCAAAATCGCCTCTATAGGTCTTAACAGCCACAGTAGCATTTAGAAAACACCAACCTTTGAGCTCCTTTTTGGCCTGAGGGTACATACAAGAGTCATTTGGAGCCAAATCAGGGCTGTAGGGTGGGTGTAGCACAGTTTCGATTCTTTTTTTGAAAAAAAAAAAAACTGACAACATGGGGGCGAGCATTGCCGTGTCGTGATGCAGTTTCTAGCGTCTGACGAGGTCTGGCCATTTTTTTGGATGTGGTCTTGGATTATTTGTTTCAATACTGAAATAAAATGTAGTAGGCCTATCCTCCGTGAATTGTTTGACCCTGTGGCACAGTATGGGTTTACACCATACCGCGATAATCAAAGAACGTAATCATCGTTGTTTTTTGGCATCACTCCACCTGCCAACTCATATGATTCCCTTCCATTTTTTAAAGTAATGCCACCTGAAACAGGTTCTTTCACTCATTTTATCACCACCAAAAGCTTTTGTTCAAGTAGCTGTTTTAAGTATCCGTAGCACTTTTCCTCCGTTTCACACAAAACTTTATTCCATATCTTTGCTTACGAAAATCAGCCATATTAAACTTGAGAGGCAAAAATGTTCAACTGTTTATTAACCGGAAAAAAATAAATAAACGCCGTTTGCTTAACTTCGTATCGTTGCTGTAATGGCGTTCCTTCAAGAGAAGAGTGACGTCACGCCCCCCGCTCCTTCACTAAAGAGGTTCTCATCGGTTCCTGACCAGGAAATTATAGTGTTACAGTAGTAGAGGTTATAGTGTCAGTGTCTGTATGGTAGCTTTGGTAGTCGATAAAGTGAATGGTGTGGTGATCCACAAAACATAAGTTCAATCAAGACTCATTCAAATAGTCTAATTTCAAATGTCAAATGTATTAGTCGCCGTATACTCTACAGTTGCAATAGTTTATATTAGAGCACTAAGATCAACATGCAGGAAGTGCTAGCAATCATAAACTGGTCAATGAGATATTGTTTTTCCTAGTACAGAGTTTTAATTTCAAATCTTTTACTTCACACACACTACAATGCACGTGTTTACAACCAGTCCGAACCTCTGCAGGATTGGCTACAGACATGTTGCTGCTTCTAGAATGACCGAGACCCGCGTATCTAGGATTGAACACTGTGGAGGTTTGTGATTGACAAGTGGCATTTCAACGCCCCTATAAACCTTTTACTACTTCCTGAAGCAAACATTCACAATAGTTCGTAGCTTGTACTAGAACAACAGCAGCTTTCTAATACATTGAACCTTGATCACTCACTCAATAGTCATTTTGGAAGTTGTTATACATTTTTAGACTTCACCTGTAACATACATTAGTTTATAGGTTTATATACTTTTTAGTCATGTTTAATGCCCTTGCAAAACGGTCTTATTCACTAACAAGACTACAAGATCGCGCCACTCATCCTACACTCATCCTCATTTCTACTTGGCTTAAAATACCTGCATTCGTATGCTCGTCATTTCACAATAAAGTATTAAAGTAAAGTATTAGGGTAAACATCATACCACAGAACATAAGTTGCATTCGTGAACTATTTCAATCCTATAAGCAAAAACATCGTAATTTAGTAATTTTAAAATTTCTTTGGGTTACTAATCCATTAAAGAAAATACCCCTGCCACAGCAAACCTGCTGACTAATCGAATTTCCAACAGTCTGAACTGATTTTCAATTAAATCTATTTAAATAACATTAGGTTTAACGAGTACCTAGGTTTGTTGCTACAAGAAAACTAATAAAGTGTGTTTTCAGTAAAATAATAATAGCTTAGTATAAAATCAATAAATTTGCTAAGTTTGATCAAAATATATCTATAATCAAGCAAACTTCAACATTTTTTTACAATATTCTCAATAAGAATAACATGGGAATTTTAAATTGAATTTAATTGTAATTTTCTCAGTTACCAATAACCGTACAGAAACACTTTGATATACAATTTTTTTTAAAGCTCTTTAAAAAGGTCTAGAGATAAATTGGGAGACGTTGTCATTGCCAATGTTACCAGGCCAGGTGGCCGTGCCAATAATCAATGCCCATACCGTTTCTTGTTGCAAATAATATATCTTTCAATTTTAAATGCTGCAACTGACAGCTGACTGTTGAAAGTTAAAATAATAATATCTACAAATCCTCATAAAGGACTTTTGGAACATTTGATTACAATGCTACAAGAAACCATCGCCAATCTTATCAGTATTGCTGGGGAACCAGGATTTTATCTCAAAGTTATCGCGTTGTGCCTTACTATAATCACAAGCTTATTTTGGCGACTCTCCGAGGCGGGGTTTTCAGGAATGGACGGACACTTTCAAGAAGTAATCTTTGCTCACACAGTTCCCGGATATCTAACGGTGATGTTCGGCCTAGTGGTGGTCTACTTGTTGGGAGACAGACCAAACAGATGGTTCTACTTCATCTTCTACGGCACCGGCATTGTCTTGCTGCTGCTGGTGGGGTTTTGGGGCGTGTTCAACTGCTTGTTCAAGGACCACGACTGGGGGCTGTCTCCGATGTTCATGGCGTTCTCCAACATCCTGACCGCGGCGGTGATCGGTGCAGACCTGTTATGGAGCACCGCGCTCTTCGGACTATGCGAAATGGTCACAGAAAGCTTAAACAAGAGACGTAAGGCTGACAACGACGAAGACAGTGAATGAGGGAAGGTTTTGGTAAGTTTACTAAAAATATCAAACAACCATATCCCCCTTTCTCAGAGAGTAATGATGGACTAGTTTAGTCGTGAATGACTAATAAAATGTAATAATTTGCAATAAATCTTCAATTTGCTAATGCACATTATAAACTATTTGAGAAGCTACCTCTACAACTTAAATCTACGCAACTTAGTTGGATATCTAGGATATCTATCTCTTGGATAACACTATCTATGGATAGTGTTATAAATGGATTATTCGTTATTGATAATTTGTGTTAGTAAGTACTATATGCTAGTAAATATACACAAAAGCTTGACAATCTGTACGATCAACTTTCATTATTCATTTAAATTTATTGGGTGGGTAACCCCAAAAACTCATAACTGTTAAAATACAAGTCCTGATAATCTATACGATTGTTTGACAGTAGGTATCCTCACAGTGCGTTAGTGATACGCACCAGTTTGTAACTCATAGTTCACTAGTAGTTAACAAAGTTACAAATATGCATCTGAAGACTAGGTCGGCCTTTAATTCTTTGCTACTGAACAGCACAATTATTCGCAGACTGTAAGACATTGGCGAGACTCGGTTTCGTTTCGAGCGTTGGTCGTGCTCGGTGGGCGATCCCGGACCGCGGGCGTCTCTATTCCAGTCGCTGATGCTCCTCGAAGGATCACGGCGGAAGTCCGACCTACAGATTTGCGCGGGAAGTAACCGTTTGGATCGCCTTCCGACCTACATTTTGGCATTAGTAGAGTACCACAATCAATACTATATAGTCCTTGCATCGACACAAAGGCTAATGCAATTTTTGTGATTTTACCTTTTAAATATCATAGTTAATTACTCTCATCGCTTACTCATGATAAAGCTGGTGGACAAGCTAATTGAGGAAAGTACCTATGTATCAGATTGCTGATACTGTCTATTTTATTTTATCTTAGCTACAAATGTTGAAGATTAATTAGTTGTAGCTGACATAGACAACAAGAGAGAACATTATCATAAACCTACATTTTTTGGTGTTATACATAAAAACTGACGATAATTTTTAACCGCCATCGTTATTCTTCGATCTGACCATTCAGTTAAATAACTTAGTCTTTGTATGAAACCCGAGTTTTGCTTATTTTACAGCCATTATACAGTCGTTCAAAGAACGATTACTCAATAATTTAATGGTAGTAATGAACCTGCTATTTTATTCAATTCGATTTAAGTAGACACGTTATTTTCATAGTAAATTTCATTTTATATATGATACCTTCTCAAGCGGGACAGAGATATTAATTTGAAATCTGGGTAAACCTTATATGAGATGTGATACGTCTTTACGTTTACATCACAATGATGGGACACACAGCTATGATGATCATTAGAAGCCAAGATGATAAACTGCCATTGTTGCATTGCTCGCTCCCTTGATCACGTTCCCATGGCTCGAACACCCACAACACGCCTCAGCACCTGTGACAGACTTGAGCTCGACGTTGTTAATAAGTATAAACGAGTTTGAAGTAGTGTTTGTTATTCCTACGCAGGGAGTGACAGCTAATATATGTGTGTGTGAATTGCGAGTATAACACTTCAATCTGTCATGAGTTGAGCGGTCTGACAGTTCACTATTAAGCATTCGTAGTCCTCACTCCTCCCCGTTGGCCTTCAACATTGCAGTGTTGTATCTGAATTGTGATCGAGCATTCATTAATACGTTAATACGTTGCTTAATATTCATGATTATAACGTGTTTATCCATCTATAACATTTTATTTCGCAATGGTGTCGTATTCTTAACAAAGTTCGGAGTCAATCCTTTTAGAGCCTCTGTTGTTAGAGAAAGGTTGCGCTCTCCAAAAACTAATTAAAATCATTCTGATATTGTATTCAAACGAATTGCAAAGGTTTAAACAAATCTTTAAGTGGAAATAACTGTATAAATGGAATTAAACATTCATCTAGCCTACACATGGTGTGTTTTGTGTACTTGTGTTGATCGTGGGATACACTGAAATACAGTTAGTGATTTGCTCACATTTACAGACTAAATTGCCTTGCTAAAAATTAGTAGTATCTTTGACTACTATAGTACTTAATTAATAGTACTAGATAAGCACTAAGCTAATTTTGTATACTTGTGATATAGGCAAAAAACATCAGGGTTAATGTATTGTAGATTAACTTTTGCCACAATTTTAGCCATTAGATTACATGACTAGTGACAAAGATTACAGTTTTCCACCGTCTTCTTAGTCGCGGGCAGGTGCTAAATCGGTTGAAATTAAAACGAAAAATTACTGGTGATTCCCAACACGTATATTGGTGACCAAGGCAGTCACCGCAGCTAGTTATGGCATTACTGGTGATTCACAACACGTATATTGGTGACCAAGGCAGTCACCGCAGCTAGTTATGGCATTACTGGTGATTCACAACACGTATATTGGTGACCAAGGCAGTCACCGCAGCTAGTTATGGCATTACTGGTGATTCCCAACACGTATATTGGTGACCAAGGCAGTCACCGCAGCTAGTTATGGCATTACTGGCGATTCCCAACACGTATATTGGTGACCAAGGCAGTCACCGCAGCTAGTTATGGCATTACTGGCGATTCCCAACACGTATATTGGTGACCAAGGCAGTCACCGCAGCTAGTTATGGCATTACTGGTGATTCCCAACACGTATATTGGTGACCAAGGCAGTCACCGCAGCTAGTTATGGCATTACTGGTGATTCCCAACACGTATATTGGTGACCAAGGCAGTCACCGCAGCTAGTTATGGCAGTGCGAAACTTATCTGACCAACACTAATCAAGTTCTGAATCTAGCAAAAAATATTGACTTAATCGGGAGTGTTTAAGTCATTTTACGCTGAAGCAATGCAAATGAGTAAGACCATCAACACTCTGAAGCCCTGCGTCATAGAAGATGATTGTCGATTTCCTGCAATGATGGTGTATAAGAAGCCAAAATGCCTTATACATAAAATGAAAGCAATGAAAAGTAAAATTAAACGTCCACGGTGGCTTTCGATAGTGTATGGCAAAGCTTCTTGTAAAAAGGTTGACGCATCTGTTTTGTGTTTTCTCTATATCAACACACAACAGAGATAACATCATGATCAACCATCATGATCATGATAACGATTCAACACTTCGGTGTGAAGTGTAATCATTCTTAACATGTGTATATACAACGTAACTGGAAATAATTATAGTTTATGAGTAAAAAAGAGCATGTGTGAGGTGAGTAGATCTAATAAAACTAATTACTGACGAGCGAGGTCTCATAAAGGAGGATGGTTTTGCCAGCTCATCTTCTGAGTAATGTGTGGGCTACACAATGGGACGCGATATATCGAATTGCCGCCCTCTTCTTAGGGAAGGGCTCTGAATACGCGCAATCTCCTGATATTGCCACTCTGAACTTCATAGCGAAATGTGATGTTTTTGAATAACTTGAGATATTTTATGAGTCGGTGGCTTAGTCGTCCATTATCATTGCCTGCGAAGTGTGAATCCACGGTGGGTTCCCGGCCCGATGCCTTATAATTATTCCCTATATTGTTGTTGTTGTGTTGTGTTGTTGTACTGTATTGTTGGTTGTGGGCTCCTTCAGGATACTATATTCTCGTGCTTTGTCTGCTCATTCATCATAGAGTCCAAAATTGTAAGCAAGTACACATCAGTTTAATGAAACCGTTGACATCCTTATAAACAGAATACAATCGCATTTTGTACGTGTGAGTATTGCAGACACCCACATTTGCTCACCCGGAATAGTTTAAAGGAACTATAAAATAGCGAATTGGTTGTGAAATTAATGTTATTTCACTCTTTCAAGCCCGTTCCAAACATTTCCTATATCTGATTGAGCGAGTCAGATTAACATCCACTCTAGCACCTACGAGGAACCAGGTGTAAATGTCAAATATCAAGTCGAAATGTCTCAGAGATCCTACGCGTAACCCACACTGTCCAATCCATCAACATCGACACGGCGTTTATAGAGTACCAGAAAATACATATTTATAATATAAAATACAAATTTAGGCCACATTAATGTCAACTATGAAACACTTCCTTGGTCTACCATAATAGAATGTTTGAATCGACTATGTGTATGCTGTACAGGGTGTTTCAAAATGAAAGAGCAGATTGGATTTGTTTATTTCTTGAAAAATATTAATCAATCAATAAGATTTATAATGCAATGGATAGATAAAAGAATGAAGTTTAATTTTTGTATCAGGTTATTTTTCGGTACCCGTTATTTTTCCATGCACAATTTTTGTCTTCTTTTACAGTATTGTAATTGAAAAATACCTTATTCCCTATAGGCTATGTAGTCCTGCAGCTGATTACACTTTAGTGTGCAAACTTGCGTATACTAAATGTTCTTGCATAACCTTTTAGCTTAATGTCTAGGAGTTCAACAAAACCTGAGTGTTTACCTCCTACCCCCCACGTTTTCCGGCTATGACGTCATCAATATAGCGGCAAAGGATTTCTCTTAAAGTGCTGTATGTATTTCACACACTATTTGTCGGACCGGCATACACTTTTTGTTTTAAAGATAACTTTACATACTATCTTTCTTAAATTTAGACATTTGTAGAGTGTTTAGTAAATTTTTAATAATTTTGCAAAAAAAGCCCGTTTTTTAAAAATATTTTTGTGTTATTTTTGTAATATCGTTTTATTGATCAGATATATCAGAACCAACCTATGGAAAAAGTTGTAGGACGTTATAAGAGCTTTACAAAAATACCGTATTTTATATAATTTACTTGAAAGATAAAGTCAAGAAACTAGATAAATTTAGATAAGTTGGCTACACACCACCTTCCTTTGCATACCATACGTTTGCTGCTAAAAGTTTTACAGACTAAAATTATGTTTAAAAAATGACTGAATAAACCAGCTATAATTTACTAGATTTACGCATTTACAGCAGTGCTAATAATTTATGCTACAGTACAATAGTTCAATTTTGATACCAGACTTATTTCTTTACTTCTATTAAATGGAATAAAAACAATATAAGTTACGGTTGATGAGATTGGGAATTTAAATACCAAATATGAACATAGAATAAGCCGAAGACACCGATGAAACGAAGAAAATCAATTTACTTGAGTTTAAAAAAGAAAAGGAACACGTCACAGAATTTCCAGGAAGATTTTTTTGTCTAGTAGACTACTAGAAATAGGTACAGTAATATCTGCAAGTAGATTACTGCTTGTGAAAGTTGACATTGATTACATATTTACCTGGTGAAATGCATAGTTTTCTTCAGCTGTATTTCCTGCAACGTTTTTAGTTCAAATAATTCCAAATCCAAAAAAAGTAGAGGGTTTGCTGCATTGTGTTGGTGGCTACCTCAATTGTTGACTCTTTAATTTCATTTTAATTGACGAATCAACAAGTTTGGCATCCTTCCATATGTATGCCAACTAATAAGACCTCACGTATACACTCTTGTCTCGTTCTTGAAGACTTCGACGTAATCACTTCTGAGTAATGTCATGCACATTTTTACTTGAAATCCTAACCATTCATTTAAGTGGGCTGATTTACAAATGGCGAATATATAAAAATTAATAATTCACATAACTACATTCATAAAAATTAAAATCCTAGTTGAGGTACTAGTCGTTTGGTACTGAATTTTTCACTTGGAAAAGACTAGACGAATTAACCCTATATTCCAATATGAGCTATGGTGTGTATGAATGTACTGTATGTATGTTTGTAATATTTATCTCAAAATCCAGTGGAAGTATTTTGACTAAAATTTGGAATTAGGGACTTAGCCCTACAAACGTGATTGACGACAGCCACTACCCAAGGAAAATTTGTATATCGCTACATAACTCATTTGAAAAATTAAACATTTTACATTGTTCTTATGGGTTGCCAAGTAACATAGTTACTGTTGAACAAAATCACAAAGAAAAAGTAAACAACAAAAGACTTGTAACATGTGTCTACAGTATAAAAAAAAACATCAACAGTATGCTAGCAAATTACAAACGAATTTAGTACAAATGGAAGATATCAGTTGTAACTATTGAGCAAAGATTATACTGAAGATCACTCCATAGATAGGAAAATAGAGCTAGTGTTGATGAGGGTCTTGTGTTGATGACGTTTGAGTGCACTGGCTCATTTTTTTACTCTTATTTTAGGGTAGATAATATTACAATTATTATCCATTCTTTTTTATAGTTTACATAATTTGGACAGCTGTATTCAGTTGAATCAGCATTAAAGTTAATTGTATTACAATAATCTTTATAGTAAACAATATACGCTTGAATCGGACTTATCTGTCTAATACATCTGAGAGTGTGCTCATGCTGAAGTTTTACTTTAACTTATAGAAAGATTTATTTTAATACCAAGATGTAAATCACACCCCTTACATACCCTGTATTAATGCTACTGTGGCTGAATACTACTGTAACCTGTGATTATATTAGTTTCAAAATAAGAACTAAAACCAAAATATCCCCGCAGCAGCAAACCTGCCGACTAAGCGAATTTCCATTTGTATGAATTAATTTTTAATTAAATCTATTTAAAAAAAAAAATTAGGTTTAATGAGTACCTAGGTTTGCTGCTACAAGGAAATTAATAGAGTGTACTTTTTAGTAAAATATAAATAGCTTAGTATAAAATAAATAAATTTGCCAAGTTGGATCAAAATATATCCATAAACAAGCAAACTACAACATTTAACAATATTCTTCATAAGAATAACATAGACATTAGAAAGAAAAAGATTATTAACTAATGGAAATACTAACAATTTACATAACAGTCCTATTCCAGTTTAAAGGGTTAATTTTTAACTATCAAACTGCCCATGGACGGGAAATGGTAAGCTTTCAATTTAAGTCAACGTAAAAAGGCTGTCAGCTTTTATAATGTACCGTACCTAAGTTATTTAGCCAATTTGTAGACAATAAGGTGTAAGCTACTTTAAACTCTACAGAACAGAGTTAGGCAAAAACTGGCAGAACTCTGAAATGGTGTTATTTATCATAAGCATACTCATATTCCAAATCATTAAAATAAAAATTCAATAATTAATAACTTATATCATTAAACACAAACCAACATCCAAAACTATACCCATTTTTAATACAACATAGATAATTTGCACATTGACTGTTTACAATTAACATATGTTCTTCTTCTCACTTTTAACTTTTGGTTCGCAACGGGAAAAATTGTTTCATAATCATTGAAATAGACTTATAATGATTAATACAACATAAAGTTTAAGATTAAATAAACCTACCACATAGTTGTTTTATTTTGTTGGATCAGCTATTTATATGTTTTTGGAAGCAAATGTATATATATTGTGTTGGATTGCCAAGTTAAAATTTCCATCATTATAAAATGAAATTCCACTCAAACTTTAGTAATAAAAGCCAAAATTAGTTGTAAATAAATCGTAGGTTTCCTTTGTATTGCTTTTACAATCGAAATAAACTATACCGAGCCACGGCTCGGTCTTTCGGTACTTAATATAAGCAAGGTATTTCCTAAATGACATGAACATAATGTTATTGGTATAATACTGATATACTATGACAGCATATGAAAGATTTGCAATTCTAGTAAAGCAATATATCTGTCTTGATTTCCAGAAAAAAATCATTTCTTAACTGTTTGTGCCATTCTGCGGATTCGAAATCATATTAGTGTAGAGCACGCTCCACTAAAGTTAGGCCATCACAGAATAGTTCCCCCTTTGTCTCTAGTGTTTCAGTAGATTTTTTTATTTTTTATATGGCGGTAATTAGATGCAGCCAATTATTAAGTTTAAGTCATATCTGTTTATTATACTAATTTTAGCGAATTTTCCTATAGGGAAGAAGCTATTACCGCAGGTGGCATGGAAAGACCTGGGACCGATTTATTTCAAAATTGTCTTCACAGGTCAAAAACACTATTCGTTAAAATTATAGCCTCTTATTGTATGTTTGAGTGTGTACAGTGAGCACGATAATTCTAGTAATTTTAGCCCGATTTCGATGAAATTTGGCATGAATGTGTAGGGCTGAACAAACTTGATAGAGTTCGCAAACCAGCAAGATCGGGTCATTGGACCGGTATCGGGGTTTTCAAAAAGTTACCCTTAAAACATGGAAGTGTAAAATTTTCATTACATGCATTGTGTAGAGCCTAAAAAAACAACAATTGTGTACAGTGAATCATTATTGTACAATAGTTTAAGGTTACGGAGAACATAACAAATCTGAACATTTAAAATTCCCATGACATTCTTATGGAAAAAATATACCTGTTGTAGATGGATCCCTACTTGTTAATGGATATATATTTTTATATCATTTGAAAAAATAATTTATTTTTTTCTATACTATTAACATTTGATTAAAAAAAACACGTTTTCTCTTCTCCGTAGAAGCATTTAAAAAATCAATTAATATGACTTTTTATTGAAAATATTCTTGTAAAGATTCAATCATACGAATCAAATGAAATTTCACTAAGTCTGCAAGTTTGCTGTGGTGAAGTTTTTATAAATCTTCTCGAGTTGGTTTGCTTTGACAAAACTTATAAGCCATATTTTAAATTTTTAAGAAACATGCTGAACAATACCCTTAGCAATACTAATTAAGTAAACATTGCCTAATATGCTTACAAAACAATTGTACTATTTTATTCCTTAATAAGAAATTAGAGAAGGTTAAGGAAATGTGTATTCCTAGTCCCGCAATTACGTAAAAGAATGTATATAAACTAGCTGTTACCCACGGGTTTCATCCTATTTAACTTCATATAAGCATTGACATCAGTGTTGCCAGATTCGCCGGCGAAAATTATCGTACAAGCAGGCCAAAATTATCGTTTTTGGGGCAAAATTATCGTACACACAATTTTCTTTTATAATAATATTATTATAATGTAAAACAAGCAAGTCGATGATGGAATGGCCGAAATATTACTCTATTTGTCTCTGCCACCCACCGTTTTTGCTCTACTAGCCTACCACTGAGCTAGAAAAATGAAAAATATAAATTCTACCGGAGGCAGCACACTATCACACACACACACGGAATCTGCATCTCTGCTAGAAAAATATTGAAACGCTGTAAAATAATGGTATTTTCTTCTCAACTGGAAAAATCAACCAGCTCATTGCTTTATTTCATTCCCCTACTGCCAATGTACTAAGTACAATAATTAATTGAAGGTACAACGTAATCCACCCCTGTCCCCTAGTACAAATGGCGGCCAACTTCTCTCAAAATTCTCCTTTAAACACTTAAGTTGGTAGCAAATGGGCCCTCTCTAACACAGCTGATGGTTTCATTGTAGTTGTTAGCCTCCGGATTGCCAAATAATATTATAAAAGGTTTAAATACCTGCTATTAAGCAATCCAATTTTGTTGTTGACACAACTAGTTTCGGTGTCTGTGTGACACCATCATCAGGCTGTACAAGGACAGTTTTCTTTCTTCATACGAAGAGCGTCATATTTACACGAAAATAATAAATAAACATTTAAACACGACACAAACACGAATACGAGACATTTATGGTAACTGTCCTTGTACAGCCTGATGATGGTGTCACACAGACACCGAAACTAGTTGTGTCAACAACAAAATTGGATTGCTTAATAGCAGGTATTTAAACCTTTTATAACAGCTGATGGATTTGCAAGGTTGCCAGATCGAACAGCAACGAAGTGATGTTACCGTTTTTCCATATAGGCCTATTAAAAGTGGGAAACGTGTTTAAATGTATAATAATCAATATGAAATAGTTTATTTTCCAGCCCCCAAAAAATAATCGTACATTATGACAAAAAATCGTACACAACGTCAAAATTATCGTACAATTTTTCAAAATTATTTTTTATGGGGAAGGAGCAAAATAATCGTACAAATACGATAATTATCGTACACCTGGCAACACTGATTGACATTGACTGTACACAGATTCTGTGTAGGCTATAGTCAATGGTATTAATAAAACTATTGATTGGTTAATTTAAGCTAAAATAAACGAAACAGAATACAGCAATATAAACAAATAATCACACCTGATTTCAATAAGGCAATAAATTGAAAGATTAACAAAAAAATAAGTACAGCTTTGGTATTTTTAACATTAGGTGTATGGAAAGTTCCCTTTAGAAAGTAATTACGACCTTAAAGGGCAATTTTGTAATAATGGATCATTTTGCGCAAGGTTTCTCATCATGACGAACATTTTAAGTATATAGTTTATGGGGGTGTAACTTGTAGTTTTCTCAAAAGTTCATGGGTACTTTTGGATTTATATATGGATATTTAGCTTGTTTCAACAATAAACCACTACATCAGTGTTCAGAACAGTCCATTAATCAAGGTTTGGTAAAAATAATATTTTTAATTATTTGAGGTAGGTACTTTGTTTTAAACAAATTGAAGAGAGTTTGTAAGACATAAATGTTTGATTGTTTACAACGTTTGCTAATACAAAATCGCAAAAATACCTTTTATGACAGGCAGTAATTGGACAAATAAATAATTAAGGTCCTACCTTATTGCTATCGCAGTAGAAATTTATATTCTGGATCCAAGAAACAATCACAATCCCCAGGTACCGGCACTACAGTCGTCAGTCTACTACAGTATAGTGGCGCGCCCGCGACAGCACTGAGCGACCTCAGCTGCCCACAACATAACCAACCTGTGGATCAGCTGACCGCTCTACTACATGTCTCTGGTGGGTTTGAGACCAAGTTTATCTGTGCGTAGGTTATACAAATATTGTACCGGTACCTAAGCTAAACCAGAATATATATCCTGGAGAATAGAATAACACCTTTTAGTTATTCAGAACTAGACAGAACTAGACAGTTGAATTTTGTCTTGATTCGTCCCTTGATCATCCCGTATTCCCTTGGAGGATGGCCACCATTTCATAAGAAAGTATTAAAGAGGTTCAACAAAACAACGGACTATGTCACTAAACTAATTCAAGACATTCTGATGGTACGAAATCCCTCAATTTCCACAGGGTACACAGTTTGTGAATACGGTGGGTAAGAAATGTATTGACATTGACATTCCCTCCCACTATGTGTAAGTGTGTTTTTGTAGCCTGTGAAGGTGGTGGAGTTGACCTTTGGTCTAAACCTTCACAGGTAAAATAAACACGTTATCAAGTTACCACTGTTTAAGAACCAAGTTGGATGTAGTTGCGTTAAGACACCGACATAGTGATGATGTAAATCAGTGACTTCTGTCAAATACTCTAACTTTTTTAACCAAGTCAAACTCATAGGAAGACTTTTTGTAAGCTATAGACAACCGTTTCGGCAAAACGAATTTTAGACTGTTACCGCACTCTGTGAGTGGCTATTATAACAGTGATTTTTTATTACAAAATCGGCTTAGCTTATATCCGTATAGATGGGATGTCTACTTCATTATAAAAAGTCAACAGTATTACCTAGCCTAGGACCTTTGAACCGTTGGCCTTATATCAGATTTAAATCTTAAATCTTTCTCCTTTTCCCGCAATTCCTCAATCTTTATTAAGTGGTAAGGAGTATAGATTGAAATCGGATATAGGATAACGGTTGAAACAAATTTTTTAATTTCTAGGTTAGGTACCGGTAATACTATTGACTCTTTTATTAAAATGAAGTTGACATCTCATCTATACGGATGCGCTTTAGCCAATTCATAGCTTAGTGCCAAAACATGTATTTATTTGAAGAAAAAAATGCCTCCTTATCGCCAATCATTTGAGAGTTCCCGGTTATCATTTTATTGGTTGGTATATACATAGACTAAACTACAGTTAGGTTCATGCAACCATCCAATAATCTGTCTGTCAACGCTTACCATCCTGCGCAGCACATCTTCGTCGTTTATGATGTTGAGGTCTGCTGAGACCTCGGCGGCCATCATGCTGAACCTGTGGACACACGATCACATTAACACGCACATAAACACACATAACACATAATATGACAAACACTCAGGTAGCCCACGTAGAAAGTGACGTAGCTATATATGTGTGTGTGTGTGTGTGTGTGTGTGTCTGGCACAGTCGCCCACTACCGTGACGTCACATATGAGTCACCCGCCCACTCAGCCTGGAGACTTTAACACCGCAAGTGCGAGATTCTGCAGTCGCCGAGGACCGAAGATGGCGACATGTGCAATCAGGGAATAAATATTGTCCGATCACTCATGGGTGATGTGTAATTCTACACAGCTTACGTAAGATAAATAAACAAAGAAGTGTATGTCACGTTGCCATATTACCATATAACCATATTATAACCATCAACGCTCTTATTAAATAACATATTATTATATCATCCTTATTATATTTTGTACAACATTTTATATTTGGTAAAAATGTAAAATGTCATGTGGTTGTTGTCATGGTTCACCTAAAACAAAATGTATGTAAACTTTCATGAGTTATACTTTTATACAGGGTAAACCCAAACTCTCCACCGATCTTTTAAGGAATCAATCCTGGACTAAAGTCGCGAACTAAAATGGCACATTAAAAAATTAACAATGCCGAAAAGTTAGCAGTACAGCCACCATTTTGTCTAAATTAACCACCACCTCTTGTACCTACTACGCTCCTGCTTTTGTTTTACAAATACTCCTCCTGAACGGCTGAAGCAATCTGCTCGGAATTTAGCACAGTCATGGCAACCAACCATGGGAAGGTATGAATCTGAAATGGTACAAATCGGACCACAGGGATTCTCCCTACGTGAATTTACTTTTATAAATTTAACATGGGCCTTATGGGTTAATTGGTTGCCATGACGTTTGAGAGATAACAATAAAAAGGCAAACAAGTGTCGCAACATATGTTAGACTACGAATCATCTAAAATAGCACATTACAAATACCGTACCAGATAAAAAGCTAAGAACAATCGGATTAATATCATTGCATTGAGCATAATTTACTACAAAATGAATAACCAATAATTAGGGTCGCCGGAATTTGGCTGATGCACCATTGACTTTAAATACTCCAAATAGCCATTCCATTTGAACCAAATATAGGCCTACCATTGAGTTTAGATACTCCAAGTAGACTTCCCATTAACGTGAACTATATGTACTGTACCATTAATGCAGACTTTGAATAGGTACAGCAAATAGGAATTCCATTAATGTGAACCAAAGATACCATTGAGTTTGGATAATGCAAGTAGACCTCCCATTGACTTGAACCAGACGCACATTGATTTTGGATACTACAAATAGGCACTCCATTTATGGCAGTATCCAAACTCAATGGTATCTTTGGTTCACATTAATGGAATTCCTATTTGCTTTACCTATTCAAAGTCAGTAATGATACATTACATATACAGTAGTTCAAATTTTACAAATTTGATCAAGCAAAGATGGATAACCTAATTCAACAAAAAACATATTTTTAAATATTAAAAGACATCTATTTAAATTCAGAAGAATGTTGATTGCACAATCAATCATGACCAAAACGGGACTAATAGCATGTTATCGGTATAATAACTGAGAAACAGTATACAGTATTACCACTACCACACAGTCTAAGATTTCCACGGATTTCCATTCTTGTTCTTTCATGTAGCAGTGTCAGCGTGCATAATTTGTAATCAACGTTTTGAACTGTGTTTTGCGTTGTATTTTCCCCTGTGACGGTGTATCTTGATCATACTGATTAAATGTTGAATGCTGATATTTGAAACTGCAAGATTATAACGCCTGTTACAGATTGAGTTGAGGAACATAGTTGATCAAGCCTTTGCGTTTTTACCATTAATGAAACAAACAACAAAACCAAGAAGGACATTTGAAAAAATCAGCTATATTCATCCTATTAATTTTACAAACGATCTAGTAAAATCGTCAAAGTCCACTTATACATATTATATTGCAACATAAAAACATCGTTGGCATTTGGCAACACTGTACTGCTAGACCTAACAGACATGTAGGTATCTCTCCATCTCCTCGTCGCAATGTCCACTCATGTTAGCCTGTGGAAGCGGTTCCAGAGATTCCTCCAGGGAACACTGTCAACACCTTTACATATCAAGAGTGTATTTACTTACTTATCGTCGGATATATTTAAAGTCAAGTACAACGTGTTATATACTTATATACTACGGTAGTGAATATGTGTAAAAATGTGGTTTTTAGGGCTGTTAAGATATACATAACTTGAGACATGGCTTGTTTCTAAATCCATGCAGAAATAAGAATCGTGAAAAAAATCAATTGTATTATTGAATTTCCCCTGCAGAAGAGATGCTACAGAATACTACAGAATATGGTAGTAAACGTATGTGGCACGGTAAGGCCCAGACCCAGGACCGATTTTCTTTTTCATTTCCCCCAGGGACACGTTAAAATTTATAACGAAATTAATAATCTGTGTGCATTTTAGAGAGAAATCCAAAAAAAGTGTATCTACATTTTAATTTCCATGTTACTGTGTTCTTATGGAGAAAAGGTAAACTGTTGTATAGTCGAATACCAGGTTTGCTGCATAGCAGATATTGATTTTAATCTGTCAGATTACCCACAGATCCGGTAAAATTAATTATCGGCTCTATGGGTAATTTTGCATTAAATATCTATCTATCTCTATATATTAATAGGCAAGCATGTTTCTTTAAAACCTTTTTTCTCAGCTCGTGTGCATCGCAGGGAAAATCTACGCATACTGATGGAAAGATATTTTCCTGTAGATGTGCAGAATGCTTTTAAAAATTAAAATAGGCTAACAAATAAGAACAAAAAATGAATTTGAAAACTTCAAAAAATTAACATGGACCATATGGGTTGCCATGATGGTGACGAAATAACAACAAAATGTAAACAGAAAATCAAAACAAATGGAAGAAATTCCAATCACATGTTTTTTTTACAGTGTGGGGAGAAAATAGAGAAGTCTGTACATTAATTATTTTTGGTCGAGTTTCGACCACAGGACGACCACTAGTACTTATTTAATACGCAAGCAGGTTTTTTGTGACAATCACTCCTCCGAAACTACTGAACCGAATGACATGTTTTTGGTGTCATTGGAAAGAGAGTAACGTGAAGTTGTGCAGGAAACTTTCTTTTTAGGGAAATAATGAGAGAGTGAGGCCATGGAGCCCTTTAAAGTTTTGTATTTCTCCATAAGATTAACATTGGAAAGAAAAATTGTTATGAAACTCCAGCTGTTGTCAGAAATCAAAAGTGAGAAGAAGAGCATATGTTAATTGTAAACAGTCAATAAGTTTGCTAATTTAACAGTTTGCTACAAACTTGCTGACTTGGTTGAAATTTGTTTTAAAATAACGCCTGTAATACTTAGCAATTGCTCGAATTCGAGCAACAGGGACACTAGTTAATCTTTTATTTTAGCATAAGTTAGTTTTATTTTATTTTCATTAGTTCCGCATTGTGAGAACGCTTACTGATCTTTTACAAGTACCCTACTTTCTGTAACATTGGGTGTTGGTATTATAAGTTTATATATTCTCGTGTTTTAAGCAGAGATGTCAGTATATTTTACACCTACGGACTTTAAGTTGGAAGGAACTTATTAAATGTTGATAGTGTTTGATTTTCGATTAATTAGCTAGCTCAAAGCATACATTGTGTATTTAGGACGTTTTTGTTAAGTAACATCTAAATAAGTACAGATTAAAAAGAAAATACACTTCGTGTATATAAATATGTAGCCTAACAAACGAGTTGTAAACATGCCGAAACACGGGACACGATGTTTAATGATCTTATTCGTCAACAAATCTGATCAAATGCCGACAATCAATAAACGTCATCACATGTTTTTTTAACTAGTTGAATTTTCAATTTTAATTATTTTGAATGCACATACTTTTAGTCTACTACACGAATTCCACACATATCATAAACAGGTGTCACTTTCTTTTAATAACCAAACCTAAAATGGAAATTGTTAACAGCTTTGTAACCTGAGGCAATATCTGTGTTGTGGTTCCGTCAACCAGTTTTAAATCAAGTTATACAAATTGTATGAGAAGCAATTTACCATAATATCCTTGGTTTGTAGAAAGGGAGTGTACATAGACAATAGTGGTGTCGGTTGTGGGTAGCGGGGGAGGGGATGACAAGATTAATGTTATGTGGATACACAATGTGCGATCTGAGAGAGACTGAGGTCAAGTCTTACATTGGCACGGTACTGCCAACTTGGGGTATTGGAATTGTAAAACAGCTGTTCACTACTGTATAGAGTGAACTTTACTGCCCCAACGTCCTATAAGACGGTTCAATTGTCCTGATCTGCACAGTTTGATCGGTTTGTCGTCGTCCGCTTCATACGAGTATCCATGTAGCAGTTCGCGGATTCAACCTCTTATATTGTATTCTAATATTGTATGTATATGGTTAATGAATTTCCATTTTGTTAGATTTGGAAACATAAACTTGCCTCAAGATAGAGTTTGACACCTGTAAACACATGATTTCCGGTATTAATATTTTGAACTTAGATACTGTTTTCATATTTTTGAAAACTATATAATCAATCAGTCTTAATCTTCATAATTTAGTTGAATTAACACTAACTAAGATTTAAATTACCTGATTTTCTATAAAAACTATCCGTTTTGTTGAAATCGACTTTTAGATTTAGCAGAAATTTTTTATTGTATGCTTGACCAACTTTGGCTACTGTAAAAGAACGTAACAGCGTACAGGTTTGCCTTATTAAGTTTGACAATTGTTATCAATTTCCTCACAACGTGATTGATATGGTTATTAAGGAGACCAGTTGGACTGTCCCAAATATTTAGCATAAATAACAAAGAATAACTACGTAACAATACAGCGTGTAATGCGTTTGTTCGCTAAAGTCTTTAATCAAATGAGTGTAATCTACGAGAATCTATTTCGAATCCGTGTTTGGAGC